TTGGGTTAAGTTATTGAATAACATTACAACTAATTACTAATCTACAATAGATTACTAATCCTAATTGACTGATTATGATGAGTAATCACGTGTCACCCTGCTGCCGCTCTTCTATTTAAGACCCGGGAGCAAGTGGATGGCTTCACCATTCTGGCAAAAATTGCCCGAAGATGCTGAATGTAATTACCAGCGAAACGTCGTACTTGAAATAAGTGTAATATTTAAAAAAATACTTTTTTTAAAACACGCTTTAGTGAAATGTACCGCACTAGCAATGGCAAAACTCCACGACCCCAGGAAGTGGCCCCAAGCTCGCCACGACCTAAGGGACCCGTGGTGATTTACAGGCAACGTGAGTTGAGCGTGGACAATGAGACCCAAGCCGAACCATAACGTGTAAAACAATAATGATTACAAATATATTGCTTTATGCTAGAATATAGTAATTGTCATCAGTGGGACATAAGTGTCCCAAGTTTGCAGTCGATACCACATTGGTAAGTGTGTTAAAGTTGAGTTACAACATTTGAGGATACAACTACAGACAGTGAGTTAAATAAAAGTGTGTAAATAATTGTGAATGTTGTGGATTCACTCATCAAACACACCTGATGGGCTAAAGCGGTGGAACTATTTTGTCTTTTGTCAACGTGACACTTTATTTTTTTTACCGATTGGCCGTGTCGGGGTGGTGTAGGGGTTACAACACAACATCTATAAAAAACACGATCTAACCCCAAAACACCTTGATCATGCATAGTCTTGGTGCTTTCGGTAAAGTCACGTAGAAGGGAAATAATAAAATAATAAAACAATAAAATATGTTATTAAAAAAACAATAAAATATTTTATAATTAAAATAAAACAAAATATTTTATAATTAAAATATATTTTTTTAATTAAAATAAAACAATAAAATATTGTATTTTTTTAAATTATTTTATTGTTTCCCTTCTACGTGGTGACGAAAGAAGCAAGAATATGAATCCCTGCAGTCACGAAAGCTTTAAATCGAAACCTTGATCATGAACAACATTGTGGTTCTTTAGACCTCCTTTGCCAGTACCAACATATAATAATAGGGGTTTCCCTTTTTTCTCTGGCAACAAAACTGAAACCTTTTTACAAGGATTCATGTTACTGCATTAACCACAATACCTGCAGTCAAAATGCAAACAAAACAAACACTATGATAATATATGGTGCATTGTCCTTGATACTGATTGGTCCACACCAAGGGACGGCTTTCTTTTGAGCCTCGACCCAATTGGTGCTCGACCAGGTGACGCCAAAAGGCGTCACACAGCTCAAAGACAATGCCAATTTTTGATTTACTAGCTTTCGTCACTGCAGGGGTTCATATTCTTGATTCTTTTGGTAAAGTCACCACCACGTAGAATGGAAACAATAAAATAATAAAAATATAAAACAATAAAATTCTCACGACGTTTCGACTGCAACACAAGCAATCATCATCAGGTGCAATCATCATCAGGTGTGATCATGATTGCTTGTGTTGCAGTCGAAACGTCGTGAGAATTTTATAGTTTTATATTTTTATTATTTTATTGTTTCCCTATCTACGCGGTGACTTTACCGAAAGAACCAAGAATAAGATAATGCACTAACAAAGTAACTAGGGCTCGGGGTGAGCATCTTTACATCATTAGACCTCCTTTGCCAGTACCAAAATATAATAATCTTTGAGCTGTGTGACGCCTTTTGGCGTCATCTGGTCGAGCACCAATTGGGTCGAGGCTCAAAAGAAAGCCGACCCTTGGTGTAGACCAATCAGTTTCAAGGACAATGCACCATATATTATCATAGTGTGTGTGTTGTTTGCATTTTGACTGCAGGTATTGTGGTTAATGCAGTAAACATGAATCCTTGTAAAAAGGTTTCAGTTTTGTTGCCCTTCCCCGCATCGAGCGCTTGTCTCAGTCACGTGGTGTTGGTGCTTTTTTCAGGAATATTTTGCTGTTTTTTTCCCATGGATTTTCTGTTTTGCACAGTCACAGTCACACACAAAGTCACTTTAAGATGTTTTTCTTGTTCGTGTTTTTGTGTTTGTTGCGGTTGCACCCGATTCAAGAGCCGAATGGCTCACAGGGCTATACCAAAATAAACTGAAGCTGGTAAGCCCACGAGCTCTAACCCCTAGTAGCCACAATGAGTAACAAACACAAACGTAGCCGGTGAGCTTCTTTGCAAAGGGGAGAAAGACCCAATGATGAACCATCCCCCCCTCCCCCACCACCCCGCGGTCCGTGAACAAAATTTGTCTTCCACGAAACCGGTCCCTGGTGCCAGAAAGGTTGTGGACCGCTGGTGCAGAGGGCTCCCTCCTTTATTCACATTCCGGCACACCGCAGGCCATCCCTCTCCCTTCACCGAGTACACACGGAGTAGACATTGGCGTCCCTGCAGGCTACCCGCGGTCGATCCCGCGGCGTCGTTCCGCCCGCCCGCTCCCGGCCTCCGGCGAGGGCGCGGCGGGGACTCCCCACGGACTCCGAGGCTCCCCGCGCCGCATCCGCTGGTCGGAAGTGGCCACCGGAGACGAGACGGAAACATCGCGGCGGCGGTGGCGGCGGCCCGGACGAAGACGACGATGACCGAGCGGCCCCCCCCCCCCCCCCGACCCGGGGACGGCGAGACGCTGCTGGGGCAAAGGGAGGTTTAACGATGTCGGGTTTTTTTTTTGTGTGTTCGGCGTTACAGGCCGCGCCTGTACGGCGGGGCGCTTCACCGTGCGTTGGGATTAACCACGCTGGCGCCTCCACACGCGGCATCGCGAGCCGACCCGGCCGCTCCGGTCGGCCGTCCCCGCCGGCTCGAGGTCCTCCCGGACCGTTCGCTCGCGGCGACCCCGCCGTCGAGGGCGGTTCCCCCCGACACGGCAACGCCGACGCGCTGCCGCGACCGCCGGCTGACCGGGCGGCCGCGGCGTGCTCCCCGGGTTCGGGGGCGTTGCAAGCGACCGGCCGCGGGCTCGCCTGCACCCCCTCGCTGCGGCAGCCGAGGCTGCGGTCGGCCCCCCCCCCCACCCCCCGCGAGGTGCCCGTCGCGCGCAGGACGCATCGCTGGGCCCCCCCGAGTTTGGGTGACCGGTGGACGTCTCCGAACGGAAAGACGTTTCCCTTCTTAAATTTCGGCCGGTCGCGTTGCCGAGTCCGCGTGCGGGGACAGAGGTCGGCGGCGGCCCCGTCTCTTGAAGCCGTGCGGGACGGCCTCCTCATGAGCTGGGGCAGCTGCTCGCAGAAAAAAAGTCAAAATTGTCGGTGCCCACTTCCCTACGGGGCAAGGCTGTGTGCGGGGGAGGGGGGGGGGGGCTACTCACGAGCACCTCCTGCATTTGGGTACTCGCAAAGACCCTTGCCATGCTTCAGCGGGACTTATTCTGGCCGGGCACGGCAAGGGAGGTGGCCGACTTGTTCCAGGGCTGCGCCCAGTGCAAGCCAGTCGCGTGTCGTCCCGCTGGGCATTTTTGGGGGGCCATTTTCTGCCACTAACCCGGGGTGACAAGTACCGGCTGTATATTCTTGGTTCTTTCGGTAAAGTCACCACGTTGAAGGGAAACAACAAAAATAATAAAATATATATGATTTAAAGCTTTCGTGACTGCAGTGATTCATATTCTTGGTTCTTTCGGTAAAGTCACCACGTAGAAGGGAAACGATAAAATAACGTGACTTTACCGAAAGAACCAAGAATGTGAATCACTGCAGTCACGAAAGCTTTCAATCAAAATTTAAGTACCTGCTGCTTGGGGTGGAATACTTCACTCGATATCCCATGGCATTGGGCCACTCCCCAACCAATCGGCAGCAGCCATCACGGAGGCCTTTCTCCGGGGCCTGGATTAAGGGCGCTCCCGAACGGCTGCTGACCGATCAAGGGAATCATCTCTTGTCTACCTTGCTGCGGGACCGTGTGCAACCCCGCCGGGCACGCACAAGATTCGTACCTCGCCACATTGCCCGCACACGGGCGGCATGGTCGAGACGCCTGTACTGAACGCTCACCTGAATGCTGAGCCACCAGGTGTGAAGTCGCAGATCAAATGGGACCCGACATTGTTTTTATATTCTTGGTTCTTTCGGTAAAGTCACCACCGCGTAAGAAGGGAAATAATAAAATAATACAAATATGAAACAATGAAATTCTCACGACGTTTCGACTGCAACACAAGCAATCATCTCTACTCTAGACTCCTCCCACTCTCTCGACTCCTCCCACTCTCTACTCCTCCCACTCTCTCGACTCCTCCCACTCTTTCTCAACTCCTGATTGTGTTGCAGTCGAAACGTCGTGAGAATTTGATTGTTTTATATATATTTTATTATTTTATTGTTTCCCTTCTACGTGGTGACTTTACCAAAAGAACCAAGAATATGAATCTCTGCAGTCACAAAAGCTTTAAATCAAAAAATCGTTTTTATTGCTTTATTTTGGCGATTCGAAAACACATGGTTAATCTAAATTGTCTTATGATTGTTGTTGTTGACTTGCACCACGTTGATTTTTGCACACAGCGTTTTCAACAAGTTTTTTTTTGTGCGTGGAATATTTGCTGGTTTATTCCAGGGTGTTTCTGTTACGCGTCGTCGCTTTAAGATGTCCTGTGTTCAAATTTAGTTTGTTGCGGTTGCACCCGACTTAAGAGCCGCATGGCTCACAGGGCTGTACCTAATAAATGAAACTTGAAATATCCCCGGTGTCCTGGCACGCGCGTCCAGAAAGGCACTTCGTGCGGCAAAGGGGTTCTCGGCATTCTACCGAACGTATGGTAGTCTAAAATCGCCGACACACATTCGTTCCAATGTCCAGAGGTTGGTGGATGCGCGGGAGGCTGCGAAACACAATTCGGAAGCACGTCGGCTGGCTAACGAACGCCCGCGGGGCCTTCGTGCGTCTAGCAAAGGACTGCGTTGAAGGGTGCTGTGCTTGGCTTCAAATCAAGACTGGGTCGGGGTATTTAAGCGGGAACACTCGGTTTGTTGCCGTTGCCATTTTTTGTTTTATTGAGGCACACGTGGTTACACACTTTGCTGACGTCTCTTGGGGGTACGTTGGCAGCCGGGACGGCTGAATGCTGCAAGGGGGGAAGAGTGGGGGGGGTGATGTAGGGGCATGGTTGGGCACTGCGTACATTTCCCATTCATCCTTACCTGTAGTAGCAGACATGTGTCAATAGGGGGTGGTATACTGAATGGGTAAGATGGGCAAATAGGGCTCCCCAGACCCCACGAGAGGGGCTGGGGGGGGGATGTCCCAGAGCCCCCTGGAAAGTTCCGGAAGGGAGGCGTGGCTCGGGGCGGAGAGGCACCCTAGAACGGGTATAAAAGCCGGACCCTCGGGACGGGTTCCGGCAGTCGTCGTCAAGCCGAAGACTGCAGAACCGCTTAGGCTAGGACCCTGGGAACCCCCGGGACCCGAGGACCTTGGCTGGGTCGGGTCGGGCTCCCCTAGGTCCCCCTAGCCGGAGGGCTGAGAGAACGTAGCCCCAGTGATTGGGGCACGCTAGCCCGGAGGATAAACCTCCCCAGGGTATTGGGTGTAGGGGCCGCTACCCCCTTTGTGTTATAGGGATCGTTACTGTTGCCTCTACAAGCCGCCTCCACTCTCCTTGGACCCACTACACATGCACACCCTAGTAGCTAGGGTAACACATGTGTTACATGTGTGTCCTGGTAGCTAGAGTAACACATGCACACCCTAGTAGCTAGAGTAACATGTGCTACTCTAGCTACCAGGACACGCACGTGTTACTCTAGCTACCAGGACACGCACGTGTTACTCAAGCTACTCTAGCTACTAGGACACGCGTGTTACTCTAGCTACTAGGACACGCGTGTTACTCTAGCTACCAGGACACGCGCGTTACTCTAGCTACCAGGACACGCGTGTTACTCTAGCTACTAGGACACGCGTGTGCTACCCTCATAGTTCGCTGCGTGAGGGGCGCTGCGCTCCGCCCGCGCCCGCGAGGTCGTCCTCCCACTGGAGCTGAGCGGCCGAGGGGCGGCCGAGGAGGAGGTTCCTCACGGCAAATGCCGTCTTGAGCAGGCTGTGGTGGGGGGGGGGGGGGTGTGGGGGGGGGGGAGACACGGTGAGAAAATATCGACGACCGTGGGTCCACCACCCACTCCCCCACTCACCCCCCCCACCACCCCCCCCCACTTCCACCCCCCCCACCCCCCCCCCACCCCCCACCCACCTCTTGCGAAAGACGAAGAACTTCTTGTGGAGGAATCTCGCGGCCCGCTGCCGGAGCGGCTCTCCCCGCCGCCTCGAGCGACTCTCCTCGGCCGCGAACCTCCGCAGGAGCGCCTCGACCCTCCAATCCGGAGCTCCCCCCCCCTCCTCTGCTCCCCCCTCTCCTCCCCCCGCTCCTCCCCCCGCTCCTCCAACCGCCCCCTCTGCCCCCGCTCCATGCTGCTGATGCTGCTGGACGCCGTCCGTGGCGGCGGCGGTGGCGGGGGCGTCGTTCAGGATGGTCGCGATCTCCGCGGAGAGCCACGCTGAGTCCAGCGGGGGGCCGGCTGGGACGTCGGATTCTGGCGGAGAGACGGGGGACGGACGGGGAGACAGTGAGACACAGACAGAGAGACAGAGACACAGACAGAGAGACACAGTGAGAGACAGACACAGAGAGAGACAGAGAGACAGAGAGAGACAGAGAGTGAGACACAGAGAGAGAGACAGAGACAGAGAGAGACAGAGAGAGACAGAGAGAGAGACACAGACAGAGAGACACAGTGAGAGACAGACACAGAGAGAGACAGAGAGACAGAGAGTGAGACACAGAGAGACAGAGAGAGACAGAGAAACAGAGAGAGACAGAGAGAGAGAGACAGAGAGAGAGAGAGACAGAGAGAGACACAGAGAGAGACACACACAGGGAGAGACAGAGACAGACGGAGAGAGACACAGACAGAGAGAAACAGAGAGAGACAGAGAGAGAGACAGAGAGAGAGACATAGATATCCTATTATCTAAGAGTACCTCCCCCCCCTCTCCCCCCCCCCCTCCCCCCGTGTACCACGTGCTTGCCAGGCCTCCAGCAGTCTGCGAGTGTGTCGGACCATCTCAGCCTCGGTGCGGTTCTCGTACTCGTACAAGTAGCAGCTGGGACCCTCTGAGACTGTGTAGACTCTGTGGAACGCCCCGCTAGGTACCTACAGAGACACACAGAGACCCATAGACTCACACAGAGACCCATAGACTCATAGACTCACACAGAGACCCATAGACTCACCACACACACACGCAGAGACCCATAGACTCATAGACTCACACAGAGACCCATAGACTCACACAGAGACTCATAGATTCACCACACACACACACAGAGACCCATAGATGGTTCTCGTACTCGTACAGGTAGCAGCTGGGACCCTCTGAGATTGTGTAGACTCTGTGGAATGCACTGCTAGGTACCTACAGAGACACACGGAGACCCATAGACTCACACAGAGACCCATAGACTCTCACAGCGACTCATAGACTCACACAGAGACTCAGACTCACACAGAGACTCATAGACTCACACAGAGACTCATAGACTCACACAGAGGCTCATAGACTCACACAGAGACCCATAGACTCTCACAGCGACTCATAGACTCACACAGAGACTCATAGACACACAGAGACTCATAGACTCACACAGAGGCTCATAGACTCACACAGAGACCCATAGACTCTCACAGAGACCCATAGACTCACAGAGACCCATAGACTCACAGAGACTCATAGACTCACACAGAGACTCATAGACTCACACAGAGACTCAAAGACTCACACAGAGGCTCATAGACTCTCACAGAGACTCATAGACTCTCACAGAGACCCATAGACTCACAGAGACCCATAGACTCACACAGAGACCCATAGACTCACACAGAGACCCATAGACTCACACAGAGACCCATAGAATCACACAGAGACCCATAGACTCACACAGAGACCCATAGACTCATCACACAGAGACCCATAGACTCACACAGACACTCAAAGACTCACACAGAGACCCATAGACTCACACAGAGACCCATAGACTCACACAGAGACTCATAGACTCACACAGAGACCCATAGACTCACACAGAGACTCATAGACTCACACAGAGACTCATAGACTCACACAGAGACTCATAGATTCACCACACACACACACACAGACCCATAGACTCACACAGAGACCCATAGACTCACACAGACACCCATAGAATCACACAGAGACCCATAGACTCACACAGAGACCCATAGACTCACACAGAGACTCATAGACTCACACAGAGACCCATAGACTCACACAGAGACTCATAGACTCACACAGAGACTCATAGACTCACACAGAGACTCATAGACTCACACAGAGACTCATAGATTCACCACACACACACACACAGACCCATAGACTCACACAGAGACCCATAGGCTCACACAGAGACCCGTAGACTCACACAGAGACCCGTAGACTCACACATAGACCCATAGACTCACACAGAGACTCATAGACTCACACAGAGACCCATAGACTCACACAGAGACTCATAGACTCACACAGAGACTCATAGACTCACACAGAGACTCATAGATTCACCACACACACACAGAGACCCCCAGACTCACACAGACACTCACAGACTCACACAGAGACCCATAGACTCACACAGAGACCCATAGGCTCACACAGAGACCCGTAGACTCACACAGAGACCCATAGACTCACACAGAGACCCATAGACTCACACAGAGACCCATAGACTCACCACACACACACACACGAGGCCCCCCCCCAACCACGAGGCTCCGCCCGTCCATCACAAGACCCCCCCCACCACGAGGCTCCGCCCCCCCCCCCCCAATCAACCACGAGGCCCCCCCCCCCGACCACGAGGCCACCCCCCCAATCAACCACGAGGCCCCGCCCCCAACCACGAGGCCCCGCCCCCAACCACGAGGCCCCGCCCCCATCACCTCAGTGCTCTCCCCCTCGCCCAGGGTGACGTTGGTCGCCGTGGCGACGGTCTCCACGGTGACGGCGCCGCTCAGCACCGTGATGCGGGCCGCCTCCAGGTCCGCTCCGACGAAATTCTCGAGGTGCAGCCCTGGGGGGGGAGGGGTGAGGGGGGAGGAGGGGGGGAGGAGTGGGAGGGAGGGGGGAGGAGTGGGTGGGAGGAGTGGGGGGCAGGGGGTAGAAGTAGGGGGGGGGAGGGGGGGGGAGAAGTGGGGGGAGGAGTGGGGGGGGAGGGGGTAGAAGGAGTGGGGGGGGGAGTAGTGGGGGGGGAGGGGGGAGGAGTGGGGGGGGAGGGAGATGGGAGGGGCTACATTTTATTTAACAAATTTTGACTTAAAACTTTGGTGACTGCAGGAATTAACGTGCTTGATTCTTTCAGGTAAAGTGACGTCGGTAGAAAATAAAATAAAACGAAATTAAAGAGAAATGGTTTTTGCTTTTATTTTAAATTTATTTAAAATTGCACGCATAATTATTTTTTTATTTTAAATTTTATTGTAATTTCATTTGAATTTTAATTTATTTTTAATTGTATTTTACAATTTATTTTTTAATTTATTAAAAAAAAACGTGATTGCATTTTAAATGTTATTTTCCTATCTACGTGACTTTAGCGGACCAAAGATTACGAAGTCAAAATTTAAACCACACACAAAGATCCCCCAGGTAGCCTCTAGCAGGGCTGTAGGGGCAAGTGTTGTTACACAAACACAGACAAAGGTCCCCAGGTAGCCTCTAACAGGGCTGTAGGGGCAAGTGCTGTTAGGAGTAGCAGCACCTATGTACTCTGAGGCTATCACGTGAAGTGTCGAACGCCCGCTGGCAGGAGGTCACGGGACTGACTGAGATGACTGGCTGATGCACCACCTGTGCCCCCTACTGTGCCAATTCGCTGTGCTTTAGCCACCCGGCGCTCCGCTCGTTGTTGTGAGCGTCGCTCCTCCGCCCTCCGTTGTTGTTGGAGGGCGACTGCCTCCAACTGCCCAGTAGCGTCCTTCACGAGCCTCCTCCACAGAGGCCGATCTTGACACAAAAACATGCCAACCCACCCACACAGCCACCCACACAGCCACCCACCCACTCACCCACCAATCCACCCACTCACTCACCCACCCACTTACCCACTGACCCACCCACCCACTCACTCACCCACTCACCCACTCACCCACCCACCCACTCACCTACTCACCCACCCACTCCCACTCACCCACTCACTCACCCACCCACTAACCCACCGACCCACTCACCCACTCACCCACTAACCCACTGACCCACCCACCCACTCACTCACCCACTGACCGACCCACTCACTCACCCATTCACTCACCCACCCAAACACCCACTAACCCACCCACTCACCCACCCACCCACCCACTCACTCACTCACTCATCCACCCACCCACCCACTAACCCACTGACCCACCCACTCACCCACTAACCCACTGACCCACCCACTCACTCACTCACCCACTCACTCACCCACCCAAACACCCACTAACCCACTGACCCAACCACTCACTCACCCACCCACCCACTAACCCACTGACCCACCCACTCACTCACCCACCCACCCACCCACTGACCCACCCACTCACTCACCCACCCACCCACTAACCCACTGACCCACCCACTCATCCACCCACTAACCAGGGAAGTCCGCTATGAAGACGACTTCGGTTCCGTTGCCAAGGCGACCCTCGATCTCGGCGAGACGCCGTCGCCATGGTGATAGCTCCACCAGCAGCGGCAGCAGCCATGGGGTTGGACGGAAGGGCGACCAATCGGCTCGCAGAATGTCGACACGTGGGTCGTAGAGCCTGGGTGGGTGGGGGGGGTGGATGAGTGGGTGGGTGAGTGGGTGGGTGGGTGGGTGAGTGAGTGGGGGGTTGGGTGGGTGAGTGAGTGGGTGGGTGATTGGGTGGGTGAGTGGGTGAGTGGGGGGGTGGGTGGGTGAGTGGGTGAGTAGGGGGGTGGGTGGGTGAGTGGATGGGTGAGTGAGTGGGTGAGTGGGTGAGTGAGTCGGTGAGTGGGTGGGTGGGGCGGTGGGTGAGTGGGTGGGTGGGTGAGTGGGGGGGTGGGTGGGTGGGTGAGTGAGTGGGTGAGTGGGGGGGTGAGTGGGTGAGTGAGTGGGTGGGTGGGTGGGGGGGTGAGTGGGGGGGTGAGTGATTGAGTGGGTGGGTGAGTGAGTGGTTGGGTGGGGTGGGTGAGTTGGTGAGTGAGTGGGTGAGTGGGTGGGGGGGTGAGTGGGTGAGTGAGTGGGTGGGTGAGTGATTGAGTGGGTGGGTGAGTGGTGGGGTGGGTGAGTGAGTGGGTGAGTGAGTGGGTGAGTGGGTGGGAGGGTGAGTGGGTGGGTGGATGGAGTGGGTGGAGTGGGTGGGTTGGTGGAGGCAAGTGCAGCTACACACAAAGATCCCCCCGGGTAGCCTCTAGCAGGGCTGTAGGGGCAGTGTAGAGATGTTTACTACACACAGCTACACCAGGTACTCATTTGAGGCTGAGTCAACCTAGTGGAGGTCCAGGACCGGTTCAGAGAATCGTCACTGAGTGGTGTTGGCCGTGAGCGGGAATCGAACTCGGCCCTCTGACCGTGTTCGAAGTGATAGCAGTGATAGTAGTGTAATAGTAGTAGTAGTGTAATAGTAGTAGTGATATTAGTGTAATTTAGTAGTGATAGTAGTGTAACAGTAGTGATAGTAGTGTAATAGTAGTGTTATAGTAGTGATAGTAGTGTAATAGTAGTGATAGTAGTGTAATAGTAGTGATAGTAGTGTAATAGTAGTAGTGATAGTAGTAGTGATAGTAGTGTAATAGTAGTGATAGTAATGTGGTAGTAGTGATAGTGTAATAGTAGTGATAGTAGTGATAATAGTGTAATAGTAGTGATAGTAGTGTAATAGTAGTGTAATAGTAGTGATACTAGTAGTGATAGTAGTAGTGATAGTAGTGTAATAGTAGTGATAGTAGTGTAATAGTAGTAGTGATAGTAGTGTAATAGTAGTGATATTAGTGTGGTAGTAGTGTAATAGTAGTGATAGTAGTGATAGTGTAATAGTAGTGTAATAGTAGTGATAGTAGTGATAATAGTGTAATAGCAGTGATAGTAGTGTAATAGTAGTGATAGTAGTGTAATAGTAGTGATAGTAGTAGTGATAGTAGTGTAATAGTAGTGATATTAGTGATAGTAGTAGTGATAGTAGTGTAATTGTAGTAGTGTAATAATAAGTGATAGTAGTAATAGTAGTGTAATAGTAGTGATAGTAGTGTAATAGTAGTGATAGTAGTGTAATAGTAGTGATAGTAGTGTGATAGTAGTGATAGTATTGTGATAGTAGTGATAGTAGTGTGATAGTAGTGATAGTATTGTGAGAGTAGTGATAGTGTAATAGTAGTGTAATAGTAGTGATAGTAGTGTGATAGTAGTGATAGTGTAATATTAGTGTAATAGTAGTGTAATAGTAGTGATAGTAGCGTGATAGTAGTGATAGTAGTGTAATAGTAGTGATAGTAGTGTGATAGTAGTGATAGTATTGTGATAGTAGTGATAGTAGTGTGATAGTAGTGATAGTATTGTGAGAGTAGTGATAGTGTAATAGTAGTGTAATAGTAGTGATAGTAGTGTGATAGTAGTGATAGTATTGTGATAGTAGTGATAGTAGTGTGATAGTAGTGATAGTATTGTGATAGTAGTGTGATAGTAGTGTAATTGCAGTAGTGTAATAGCAGTGATAGTAGTGTGATAGTAGTAATAGTAGTGTAATTGTAGTAGTGTAATAGTAGTGATAGTAGTGTGATAGTAGTGATAGTGTAATAGTAGTGTAATAGTAGTGATAGTAGTGTGATAGTAGTGACGGTGACACCGGCACCTCTGCTGGAATCGATCGTTGAGTGAGACCCAGACGTCAAAGTAGATCTCGGGGTCGCTGATGTTGAACTCGCGAAGACGCTCGGCCAGACACACCGAGTACTGCTTCAGCATGTCAGCATGATCCTTCCATCGCCGCGTCTGAGTCCACACCTGCAGCGGGAGAGAGACGCGGGCAGCTGAGCGACTGACTGAGTGATTGAGCAACTGACTGAGCGACTGACTGAGCGACTGACTGAGCGACTGAGCGACTGACTGAGCGACTGGCTAGGCACAAGGAGTACTGCTTCAGCATGTCAGCATGATCCTTCCATCGCCGCGTCTGAGTCCACACCTGCAGCGGAAGAGAGACGAAGGCAGCTGAGCGACTGACTGAGTGACTGAGCAACTGACCGAGCGACTGACTGAGCGACTGATTGAGCAACTGACTGAGTGACTGAGCGACTGACTGAGCGACTCACCGAGCGACTGAGCAACTGAGCAACTGAGCGACTGACTGAGAGACTGAGCGACTGACTGAGCGGCTGGCTAGACACAAGGAGTACTGCTTCAGCATGTCAGCATGATCCTTCCATCGCCGCGTCTGAGTCCACACCTGCAGCGGGAGAGAGACGCGGGCGACTGAGCGACTGACTGAGTGACTGAGCAACTGACTGAGCGACTGACTGAGCGACTGACCGAGCGAGTGACCGAGCGACTGACTGAGCGACTGACTGAGCGACTGATTGAACAACTGATTGAGCGGCTGACTGAGCGACTGACTGAGCGACTGAGCGACTGATTGAGCGACTGACCGAGCGACTGATTGAGCGGCTGACTGAGCGGCTGACTGAGTGACTGACTGAGCGACTGGCTAGACACAAGGAGTACTGCTTCAGCATGTCAGCATGATCCTTCCATCGCCACGTCTGAGTCCACACCTGCAGCGGGAGAGAGACGCGGGCAGCTGAGCGACTGACTGAGTGACTGACTGAGCGACTGACTGAACGAGTGACTGAGCGACTGACTGAGCGACTGAGTGAGTGACTGACTGAGTGACTAAGTGACTGAGCGAGTGACTGAGTGACTGAGCGACTGACTGAACGACTGACTGAGCGACTGACTGAGCGACTGACTGAGCAACTGACTGAGCGACTGACTGAGCGACTGACTGAGCGACTGACCGAGCGAGTGACTGACTGAGCGACTGGCTGAGCGACTGAGCGACTGACTGAGCGACTGACTGAGCGACTGATTGAGCGACTGACCGAGTGACTGATTGAGCGGCTGACTGAGCGACTGAGCGACTGACTGAGCGACTGACTGAGCGACTGACCGAGCGACTGATTGAGTGGCTGACTGAGCGACTGACTGAGCGACTGACTGAGCGACTGACTGAGCGACTGAGAGACTGACTGAGCGACTGGCTAGATACAAGGAGTACTGAATTTTGATTTAAAGCTTATCGTGACTGCAGTAATTAATATTCTTAGCTCTTTCGGTAAAGTCACGTTGAAGGGAAACAATAAAATATATTATTGTTTCCCTTCAACGTGACTTTACCGAAAGAGCTAAGAATACAAGGAGTACTGCTTCAGCATGTCAGCATGATCCTTCCATCGCTGCTTCTGAGTCCACACCTGCAGCGGGAGAGAGACGCGGGCGACTGAGCGACTGACTGAGTGACTGAGCAACTGACTGAGCGACTGACTGAGCGACTGACTGAGCGACTGACTGAGCGACTGACTGAACGAGTGACTGAGCGACTAACTGAGCGACTGACTGAGTGAGTAACTGAGCGAGTGACTGAGTGAGTAACTGAGCGAGTGAGTGACTGAGCGAGTGAGTGACTGACTGAGCGAGTGAGTGACTGAGCGAGTGAGTGACTGAGCGAGTGACTGAGCGAGTGACTGAGCGAGTGACTGAGCGAGTGAGTGACTGAGCGACTGAGTGACTGAGCGATTGACTGAGCGAGTGACTGGTGTCTCACCCCGGGGTTGAGGAATCCCGTGTTTCCCGTGACACGATCCCTGTAGGTAACCTTCACGTGCTGGTGGGAGCGACTGTGAACCATCATGTCCCACGAGTATCCATACAGCCCATTGGTCCAGTTGTTATAGCCCTGGCAAAGACAAAGGTCCCCCGTGTAGCCTCTCACAGGGCTGTAGGGGCAAGTGCTGTTAGTAGTAGCGAGTAGCAGCAGCAGTGTCTATGCACAGACAAAGATCCCCCGTGTAGCCTCTAGCAGGCTGTAGGGGCAAGCGCGGTTAGTAGTGGCACCTATACACAGGCGAAGATCCCCCGTGTAGCCTCTAGCAGGCTGTAGGGGCAAGTGCGGTTAGTAGTGGCACCTATACACAGGCAAAGATCCCCCGTGTAGCCTCTAGCAGGCTGTAGGGGCAAGTGCGGTTAGTAGTGGCACCTATACACAGGCGAAGATCCCCCGTGTAGCCTCTAGCAAGCAGTAGGGGCAAGTGCTGTTAGTAGTAGCAGTTACACACTGACAAAGATTCCCCGTGTAGCCTCTAGCAGGCTGTAGGGGCAAGTGCTGTTAGTAGAACCTACACACAGACAAAGATCCCCCATGTAGCCTCTAACAGGCTGTAGGGGCAAGTGCTGTTAGTAGAACCTACACACAGACAAAGATCCCCCGTGTAGCCTCTAACAAGCTGTAGGGGCAAGTGCTGTTAGTAGCGATTAGCGGCAGCCTATGAATGCTACCAGCACTGTGGCACACACAGTGGGGGTATGTGGCCAGCACCACGCCCGGCCGCCTTTGTCTCTCTCTCGTGGCAATGTTTACTACACCACCACCACACTCACTCACAACAACAACAACCGCCATTCGCCACTAAGTGTCGGTGACGTCACCACGACGCTTGTGCCAGGCCATGTGCACCTTGCGGCCACGTGAAGTGTCGAACGCCCGCTGGCAGGAGGCCACGGGGCAGACCCAGGTGCCACGGGTCGACTGACTGAGATGACTGGCTGATGCACCACCTGTGCCCCCTACTGTGCCAACCTGCTGTGCTTTAGCCACCCGGCGCTCCGCTCGCTGTTGTGAGCGTCGCTCCTCCGCCCTCCGTTGTTGTTGGAGGGCGACTACCTCCAACTGCCCAGTAGCGTCCTTCACGAGCCTCCTCCACAGAGGCCGATCTTGACACCGCTGGTACCAGTCATCAGCAAGTCCACTTAGCTCCACGTCCTCCTGTACCACATCACTCCATCTCTTCTCGAGCCCGTGCCATGCCCGTTTAGCCCCCACGATCCGGCCGAACAAAAGCTGTTTAGGCATGCGGTGGCTGGGCATGCGGGCTACATGACCCAGCCAACGCAGCCTTGCCCGCCCGAGGATTTCACCGATGGGACTTTGTCCAGATCTTTCAAGGATTTGTGGGCTCCTCACACAATCCAGCCTGGTTAAACCCAGGATGGATCGTAGGCAGGCAAGCCTATATGTTTCTGACCGGCGAAGATGTTCCATTAGGGGGGTCCACGTTTCACAAGCGTAGAGAAGGGAGGGAATGACTGTGGCCGAGAAGACCTGAAGCTTTGTGCGGAGCGACAGACCAGGTAGCTTCCACACAGCGTTACGCAACCGATAAAAAGATATTGCCGCACGACTGATTCGGAGTGAGACCTCTGCTGTTAAACTTGAGCCGGTCATAAGCACACTGCCCAGGAAACTCTCCACTCTCTCCACAACTGCCCCATCACCGATTGGGAGTTGTGGGGGTGGAGTGTCCAATGGTACAACATACCCAGGCAGGTACTTAGTTTTGGTGGGGCTGATGGTAAGGCCCCATCTCTTAGTGGCACACTCCAGTCTCAGCAGCAGCGTCTCCAACTCTTCCTCTGAATGAGCAGCTATTACCAAATCATCGGCATACATAATGTGGTTGAGCAATAGGGAGCCATCCCTTCACCGCACCCGGGCATCAATCAGCCTCCTATTACAGCTATTGAAGGCTTCACGAACTACGTGGTCAAAATAGATGTTAAATAATGTGGGAGCAAGAGGACATCCCTGTCGCACCCCAAGGTGTACAGGGAATGGCTCTGACTCCCGGCCACATAGTTTATCCGGGCCCGCTCACCATCATGAAGGTCCTTAATGATCGTGAGCTGAGGGTCAGGGACTCCAAAAGCACGAAGAACAACCCAGAGCCCAGACCTACTGATGGTATCATAGGCCTTGACCAGGTCAATAAAGCAGAGATGCAGGTCTTGTTGGAATTCCCTACACCTCTGCTGTAGCAGACGGACAGAAAATATGGCATCTGTGCAGGACCGCCCTTTCCTGAAACCGCATTGGGGCTCCGCAAGCCTCTCCTCAGCGTGCCTGGCAAGGCGATGTTGAATAATCCTTGCCAGGACCTTTCCCGGCACACTGAGAGTGAGATGTCCCTGTAGTTGTTACAGTCTGTGCGGTCCGCCTTCTTAAAGAGGGGGACCACCAGGGCATCCTTCCAATCCTGCGGAACCCGTCCAGTGGTCCAGACTGCTGTTATGATGTCATATAGGGCATTCTGTGCACAAACGCCACCCTCCCTCAGCATTTCGCTTGGGAGATCATCTCTGCCCGCTGCCTTTCCTGGTCTCAGACTCCGGATCGCCTTCAGTACTTCCTCAACAGATGGCACCTCAGCCAGCCACTCACAGTGGGTGACTTCTGCCAATATTTGAGGCACCGCAGCCTCAGCAGGGTGATCCTCACTTTGTGCCACGATGTTTTCCTGGCTGAGGGATTTTCCCTCCCCCAGGACCTCACAGAAATGTTCAGCAAATCTGCAAACCTGTTCCTGGGGGTCGGAGATTGGATCACCGTTTTTTCCCCTAATGATGGTAATAGGTGTGGCGCTGCAGGTTACTTTATTGATGGCGTTAAATAGAGATTTTGTGATCGCGGGCCACTGAGGCAGACTCCATCTCCTCAGCAACCCGCGACCACCACCCATCCTTGCAGCGCCTCACGGCTCTCCGAACCTCCGAGCGAAGGCTGCGGTAAGCCTCCTCATTCTCTGACGTGAAATTTTGTAGCCGATGACAGTGGGCCTGTCACTTTTTCTCAACCAACCTGAACACATCCTCTGTCAGCCAGGGTCTCTGGGGAGGTTTGGACCGCGTACCCAAAGCAGCCATTGCAGCTGCATGAGTCAGTCCTAAACCTCGCCCATTTACCCTTGACATCAGGAGGAGTCTGGGACGATGCCAATCCCAGCCGCAAGCAATGATGAAATTCTCGCTTCCAACTTTTATCAGATAACTGAGACCAGGCCACTTTAGGTTGGAATGGGGTCCTGGGTGTACACCCACCACCGGAGTGGAAGAATGGCAGGCGCATTTTACAGATGACTAGTCAATGGTCAAAGGGCAGATCAGCTCCACGGTAGGTCCTGGTGTCAAGGACATGGGCTCGCATCCGCTGGTCCGTCACTATGTAGTCCAGCAGATGTTCTTGCTTGGACCCTGCATGCATCCATGATGTTGTGTGGATGCGCCGATGCCGGAACAGCGTGTTGGTAATTACAAGCCCATGGGCTGCACAAAAATCTAGCAGCCTCCTACCATTGTTATTGAGCTAATCCGGCCCATGCCCTCCAATCACTCCAGACCAGGTGCCAGCATCATGACCAACTCGGGCATTGAAGTCACCCAACATGATGACTCTATCCCGATGTGCCACTTTAGCCAGCACCTGTGACAGGAGGTCATAGAAGGCATCTGACTCATCGGCTTTGCCTGCATCCCTCCACGGATGTTCGTCTTCGGTGGGGGCATAAGTAACCACGACCACCACTCCTCACCTCCGGTTGATGGGAAGGAGAGCCCAAAGTAGCCTGGGGCTTACAGCTTCCCACACCTCACCGCCACGCTCCCACGCCCCCTTCATTATTTTGTTCAAAAGAAGAGCCACACCCTGTTGTTTGCTAGTCTGCTGCCCTGAGTAGAGGACTGTCCACCCCTCATGGTGGCAGGAGCCAGAACCGGTCCACTGGACCTCCTGAATGCCACAGAGATCCAGGCGGTACCGGTCCAGCTCCCGACAGAGGAGTGGCAGCCTCTCCTCCGCAGACACACACACACAGACACACAGACACACACACACACAGACACACACACAGACACACACACAGACACACACACACACAGACACACACACACAAAGACACATACAGACACAGATACACATACACACAGACAAACACAGACACAGACACACACACACAGACACACAGACACACACAGAGACACACAGAGACACACAGAGACACACACACAGACACACACACAGACACACACACAGACACACAAACACACACACAGACACAGACACACAGACACACACACAGACACACAGACACACACACACAGACACACACACAGACACACACACAGACACACACACAGACACACTCGCTCACCTTCGTGATGAAGTGTGAGTACGGCAGCAGCAGCTGCTCGCAGGCAAACACCAGAATCAAGGCGGCCGCCACCCTGTGCCTCCATCCCGCCACCGTGGGCGGCCCATCGCCTTTCCTCCCTCCCCCACAATCTTTTGCGGCGGAACAGGAAGTGCCGCCACCTTCGCTCCCTCCCCCACAATCCTTCGCGGCGGAAGAGGAGGAGGTGGAGGAGGGAGCGGGCGGCAGGTCCCTCCCAGAATGCCGCGGGGCCGGGTACAAGCAGCTTGGGCTCCAGCCAGGGGGCAGCAGGAAGGGGCGGCACCAGGGAACGGTGCATTCTGGGAGGCGTGCAAGGAGCTTCCGGGGCCAGTCGTGGGAGCAGAAGAGGGCGGAGGTGGCGATCATCGCATAGGGGAACATCCCTGTGGGGCGGGGGGAGGAGGGGGGGAGGAGGGGGGGGGGGGGGGAGGAGGAGGGAAGGGGGGGGAGGAGGGAGGAGGGGGGAGGGAGGGAGGAGGGGGGGAGAGGAGGGGGGGGAGGAGGGAGGGGGGGGGAGGGAGGAGGGGGGAGGGAGGAGGGGAGGGAGGGGTGAGTGAGGAGGGAACGCAGGGGGAGGAGTCCGTAGCTCCACGTCTGGCCGCCGTGTGTCTCCGCGTGTCTCCGCGTGTCTCCGCGTGTGTCCGTGTGTCTCCGTGTGTGTCTGTGTGTCCCCGCGTGTCCCCGCGTGTCTCCGCGTGTCTCCGCGTGTGTCTGTGTGTCCGGAAAAACAACCCCCTACCTCATCGTGGTGCCGGACGGGCAACGCTGTCGTGGACAGTGCTGTGGGGGGAGGGCCAATTCCGATTGGCTTCTCCCCTCATGGCATCTGTGACCACCACAGTGGCTAAACGGGGGCTCTGGACGGGTGCGAGGGGCTGGTAACCCCTCCACCTTCAATTAACTTACCACTAAACCACATCTAAAATATCTAATTAATAAGCTTGTGCCGAGGCCCCGGGGGGGACAGGCGTCTATGACGTCTCCTGGCCAAACCCCAATTGGCGGAGCCAGGAGATTGAATCTTTACCCTCGGGGCTCCTCCAGAAACAATGAAAAGCCACTTCGTGTGACCACGTGGAATGTTCGAATGCTCACTGCGGAGGAGATGCTGCCACTCCTCTGTTGGGAGCTGGACCGGTACCGGCTGGATCTCTGTGGCATTCAGGAGGTCCGGTGGACCGGTTCTGGCTCCTGCCACCATGAGGGGTGGACAGTCCTCTACTTGGGGCAGGAGACCACCAAACAACAAGGAGTGACTCTTCTTCTGAACAAAATAATGAAGGGGGCATGGGAGCGTGGCGGTGAGGTGTGGGAAGCTGTAAGCCCCAGGCAACTTTGGGCTCTCCTTCCCATCAACCGAAGGCGAGGAGTGGTGGTCGTGGTTACTTATGCCCCCACCGAAGACGAATATCCATGGAGGGATGCAGGCAAGGCCGATGAGTCAGATGCATTCTATGACCTCCTGTCACAGGTGCTGGCTAGAGTGGCCCCCCGGGATAGAGTAATCTTGTTGGGTGACTTTAATGCCCAAGTTGGTCATTATGCTAATGCCTGGTCTGGAGTGATTGGAAGGAATGGGCCAGATCAGCTCAAAAACCACGATAGGAGGCTGCTAGATTTTTTGTGCAACCCATAGGCTTGTAATTACCAACACGCTGTTCCGGCATCGGCGCATCCACACAACATCATAAATGCATGCCGGGTCCAAGCAAGAACATTTGCTGGACCACATAGTGAAGGAACAACGGATGCGGGCCCACATCCTTGACACCAGGACAGACCGTGGAGCTGATCTGCCCTCTGACTATCGACGTGTCTTCAGTAAGATGCGCCTACCATTCTTCCACTCCGGTGATGGGTGTACACACAGGACCCCATTCAAATCTAAGGTGGCCTGGTCTCAGCTAGCTGATGAAAGCTAGAATTTCATTATCGCTCGCGGCTGGGGTTGGCATCGTCCCCCACTCCTCCAGATGTCGATGGTAAATGGGCGAGGTTTAGAACTGTGACTCAGGCAGCTGCAATGGCTGCTTTGGGTACGCGGTCCAGACCTCCCCACAGACCCTGGCTGACAGAGGAGGTGTTCATAAAGGTTGAGAATAAGCGACAGGCCCACTTTCATCGGCTACAGCATCCCACATCAGAGAATGAGGTTTACCGCCGCCTTCGCTCGCAGGTTCGGAGAATCAGACACTCCACCCCTACAACTCCCAATTGGTGATGGGGCAGTTGTGGAGCGAGTGGAGAGTTTCCCATACCTGGGCAGTGTGCTTATGATCGGCTCCAGTATAACAGGAGACGTCTCACTCCGAATCAGTCGAGCGGAATTATCTTTTCATCGGTTGCGTAACGCTGTGTGGAAGCTACCTGGTCTGTCGCTCCGCACTAAGCTTCAGGTCTTCTCGGCCATGGTCATTCCTTCCCTTCTCTACGCTTGTGAAACGTGGACCCCCCTAATGGAACATCTTCGCCGGTAAGAAATATTTAGGTTGGCTTGCCTACGATCCATCCTGGGTTTAGCCAGGCTGGATTGTGTGAGCTCACAAATCCTTGAAAGATCTGGGCAAGGTCCCATCGGTGAGCTCCTCCGGCAGGCAAGGCTGCGTTGGCTGGGTCATGTAGCCCGCATGCCCAATCACCGCATGCCTAAACAGCTTTTGTTCGGCCGGATCGTGGGGGCTAAATGGGCGCGGCACGGGCTAGAGAAGAGATGGAGTGATGAGGTACAGGAGGACGTGGAGCTGAGTGGACTTGCCGATGACTGGTACCAGCGGTGTCAAGATCGGCCTCAGTGGAAGAGGTTCGTGAAGGACGCTGCTGGGCAGTTGAAGGCAGTCGCCCTCCAACAACAACGGAGGGCGGAGGAGCGACGTTCACAACAACGAGCGGAGCGCCGGGTGGCTAAAGCACAGCAAGTTGGCACAGTAGGGGGAACAGGTGGTGCATCAGCCAGTCATCTCAGTCATCTCAGTCAGTCGACCCGTGGCACCTGCTGGGTCTGCCCCGTGACCTCCTGCCCACGGGCGTTCAACACTTCACGTGGCCTCAAGGTGCACATGGCCTGGTGGTGACGTCACCGCCACTTAGTGGCGAATGGCGGTTGTTATTGTTGTGTGATGTTGAAGAGTTGCGAGTTCATGGCGTGGATGTAGGTGTGAGTCTATGTGTGTGTGTGTCTGTGTGTGTCTGTGTGTCTGTGTGGATGATGAATCTACCGATGTTGAACAGCTGCGAGTTCATGGCGTGGAAGTAGGTGTTAGTCTATGTGTGTGTGTCTGTGCATGTGTCTGTGTGAGTGATGAGTCTGTGTGTGTCTGTGTGGATGATGAATCTACCGATGTTGAACAGCTGCGAGTTCATGGCGTGGAAGTAGGTGAGTGCCGTCAGTGCGAGCGGCCGCGTAGCGTCCAGCAGCAGCAGGAAGCCTGCGCTGAGGTCGAGGAGAAAGCCGCAGCCGTGGATCACCAGAAGACTCGTCCACTCCTCGGACAGCACCACCCTGAGAGAGTGAGGAGTGAGTGTCTCACTACCCCGTGTCTCACTACCCAGTTTCTCACTACTCAGTGTCTCACTACCCAGTGTCTCACTGCCCAGTGTCTCACTACCCAGTGTCTCACTAGCAGTGTCTCACTACCCAGTGTCTCACTAGCAGTGTCTCACTACCCAGTGTCTCACTACCCAGTGTCTCACTACCCAGTGTCTCGTTACCCAGTGTCTCACTGCCCAGTGTCTCACTACCCAGTGTCTCGCTACCCAGTGTCTCGCTACCAGTGTCTCACTACCCAGTGTCTCACTAGCAGTGTCTCACTAGCAGTGTCTCACTACCCAGTGTCTCACTGCCCAGTGTCTCACTACCCAGTGTCTCACTAGCAGTGTCTCACTACCCAGTGTCTCACTACCCAGTGTCTCACTACCCAGTGTCTCACTACCCAGTGTCTCACTAGCAGTGTCTCACTACCCAGAGTCTCACTACCCAGTGTCTCACTACCCAGTGTCTCACTACCCAGTGCCTCACTACCCAGTGTCTCAATACCCAGTGTCTCACTACCCAGTGTCTCACTACCCAGTGTCTCACTACCCAGAGTCTCACTACCCAGTGTCTCACTACCCAGTGTCTCACTACCCAGTGTCTCATTACCCAGTGTCTCACTAGCAGCGTCTCACTACCCAGTGTCTCACTACCCAGTGTCTCACTACCCAGTGTCTCACTACCCAGCGTCTCGCTACCCAGTGTCTCGCTACCCAGTGTCTCACTACCCAGTGTCTCACTACCCAGAGTCTCACTACCCAGTGTCTCACTACCCAGAGTCTCACTAGGAGTGTCTCACTAGGAGTGTCTCACTACCCATTGTCTCACTAGCAGTGTCTCACTACCCAGTGTCTCACCACCCAGTGTCTCACTACCCAGTGTCTCACTTGAAAGGAGAGAATAGCCAGTGGCGTGAGAGATTCCCCATCGAGTATCCCATGAGCCAATCGGAGTCCATCTTCTTGAGGCCAGCGATGAAGTAGACCACAAAGATCTGAGGAATCGACCAATGGGAGGGGGAGAGCTGTCAGTGTGTCGGTGTGTCACTACACAGACACACACAGATACACACACACAGACACATACACACACACACAGACACACACAGATACACACACACAGACACACACACACAGACACACACAGACACACACACACAGATACAGACACACACAGACACACACAGACAGACACACACAGACACACACAGACAGACACACACAGACAGACACACACACAGACACACACACAAAGACACACACAGACACACACAGACACAAAGATAAAGACAAAGAATCCCCATATAGCCTTAACAGACTGTAGGGGCAAGTGCTGTTAGCGAGCACCTATGAAGGCCGGAACGGTACACGAGGGGGTGGGTGGCCAGCACCACGCCCGACCGCCGTTGTCTCCCTAGTGACGATGTTTACACACCGCACCAGGTACTCATTTGAGGCTGAGTCGACCTAGGGGAGGCCCGGGACCGGTTCAGATAATCGTCACTGGTGTTGGCCGTGAGCGGGAATCGAACCCGGGTCGCCAGGTTCATAGCGCAGCGCGCTAACCGATACACTATCGCTCGCTACAAACAAACACAGACACACACAGACACACAGACACACACACACAGACACACACAGACACGGTAGCACTGAGGGTGTGCGAGGGTGAGGCTGACCTGGAATCGCAGCAGCCAGTAGTTCCACAGGGGGACGTGCGTGTTGGCCAAGCCGCGTCTCATCATGGCATCCACGGACCTATGGAAACATTACATTATACACTACACTATACACTACTACATTATACACTATACACTACACTTTACACTACACTATACACTACACACTACGCCACTACACTATACACGACTACAGTAAACTATACACTACACTACACCATACACTACACTATACACACTACAATACGCATTATACTACACTTTACACCATACACTGCACTACACACTACACTACACTTTCCACTATACACTACACTCTACACTATACACTATAGACTATGGGTCTCTGTGTGAGTGGTGAGTCTGTGGGTCTCTATGGGTCTCTGTGTGAGTGGTGAGTCTGTGGGTCTCTGTGTGAGTGGTGAGTCTATGGGTCTCTGTGTGAGTGGTGAGTCTGTGGGTCTCTGTGTGTGTGGTGAGTCTGTGGGTCTCTGTGTGAGTGGTGAGTCTATGGGTCTCTGTGTGAGTGGTGAGTCTATGGGTCTCTGTGTGAGTGGTGAGTCTGTGGGTCTCTGTGTGAGTGGTGAGTCTATGGGTCTCTGTGCGAGTGGTGAGTCTGTGGGTCTCTATACGAGTGGTGAGTCTACGGGTCTCTGTGTGGTGAGTCTATGGGTCTCTGTGTGAGTGGTGAGTCTATGGGTCTCTGTGTGAGTGGTGAGTCTGTGGGTCTCTGTGTGAGTGGTGAGTCTATGGGTCTCTGTGTGAGTGGTGAGTCTATGGGTCTCTGTGTGAGTGGTGAGTCTATGGGTCTCTGTGCGAGTGGTGAGTCTGTGGGTCTCTATGCGAGTGGTGAGTCTACGGGTCTCTGTGTAGTGAGTCTATGGGTCTCTATGTAAGTGGTGAGTCTACGGGTCTCTGTGTGAGTGGTGAGTCTATGGGTCTATGTGTGAGTGGTGAGTCTATGGGTCTCTGTGCGAGTGGTGAGTCTGTGGGTCTCTATGCGAGTGGTGAGTCTACGGGTCTCTGTGTAGTGAGTCTATGGGTCTCTATGTAAGTGGTGAGTCTACGGGTCTCTGTGTGAGTGGTGAGTCTATGGGTCTCTGTGTGAGTGGTGAGTCTGTGGGTCTCTGTGTGAGTGGTGAGTCTGTGGGTCTCTGTGTGAGTGGTGAGTCTGTGGGTCTCTGTGTGAGTGTTGAGTCTATGGGTCTCTGTGTGAGTAGTGAGTCAATGGGTCTCTGTGTGAGTGGTGAGTCTATAAATCTCTATGCGAGTATCTGTGCGAGTCTGTGAGTCTTTGTGTGTGGTGAGTCTACGTTGTGTGTGTACACAGATGAGCATACGTGTGCATGTGTACGTGTGTGCATGTGTGTATTCGTGTGTACGTGTGTGTGTAGGTGTGTACGTGTGTGTGTAGGTGTGTACGTGTGTGTGCGTGTGTACGTATGTGTGCGTGTGAACGTGTGTGCGTGTGTACGTGTGTGCGCGTGTGTGTGTTTATGTGTGTGTTAGTACGTGTGTATGTGTGTACGTACGTGTGTGTGTACGTGTGTACGTGTGTGTGTGTGCATACGTGTATGCCTTTGCGTGTGTACGTGTGTGTACGTGTGTGTGTACGTGTGCGTATACGTGTGTGCGTGTACGTGTGTGCGTGTACGTGTGTGCGTGTACGTGTGCGTGTACGTGTGTGTCCTGGCAAGGATTATTCAGCATCGCCTTGCCAGGCACGCTGAGGAAAGGGCGGTCCTGCACAGATGCCATATTTTCTGTCCGTCTGCTACAGCAGAGGTGTAGGGAATTCAAACAAGACCTACATCTCTGCTTTATTGACCTGGTCAAGGCCTATGATACCATCAGTAGGCCTGGGCTCTGGGTCGTTCTTCGTGCTTTTGGAGTACCTGCCCCTCTGCTCACGATCATTAAGGACCTTCATGATGGTGAGCAGGCCCGGGTAAAACTACGTGGCCGGGAGTCAGAGCCATTCCCTGTACACCTTGGGGTGCGACAGGGATGTCCTCTGGCTCCCACATTATTTAACATCTATTTTGACCACGTAGTTCGTGAAGCCTTCAATAGCTGTACCGGGGGAATCTCCATATGGTACAGATATAATGGGAGGCTGATCGATGCCCGGGTGCGGTCAAGGGATGGCTCCCTATTGCTCAACCACGTTATGTATGCTGATGATTTGGTAATAGCTGCTCATTCAGAGGAGGAGTTGGAGACGCTGCCGCTGAGACTGCAGCGTGCCACTAAGAGGTGGGGCCTTACCATCAGCCCCACCAAAACTAAGCACCTGCCTGGGTATTTTGTACCATCGGACACTCCACCCCCACAACTCCCAATCGGTGATGGGGCAGTTGTGGAGAGAGTGGAGAGTTTCCCATACCTGGGCAGTGTGCTTATGACTGGCTCCAGTTTAACAGCAGAGGTCTCACTCCGAATCAGTCGAGCGGCAATATCTTTTCATCGGTTGCGTAACGCTGTGTGGAAGCTACCTGGTCTGTCGCTCCGCACTAAGCTTCAGGTCTTCTCGGCCACGGTCATTCCCTCCCTTCTCTACGCTTGCGAAACGTGGACCCCCCTAATGGAACATCTTCGCCGGTTAGAAACATTTAGGCTGGCCTGCCTACGATCCATCCTGGGTTTAACCAGACTGGATTGTGTGAGCTCACAAATCCTTGAAAGATCTGGGCAAGGTCCCATCGGTGAGCTCCTCCGGCAGGCAAGGCTGCGATGGCTGGGTCATGTAGCCCGCATGCCCAGCCACCGCATGCCGAAACAGCTTTTGTTCGGCGGGATTGAGGGGGCTAAGCGGGCGCGGCACGGGCTAGAGAAGAGATGGAGTGATGTGGTACAGGAGGACGTGGAGCTGAGTGGACTTGCCGATGACTGGTACCAGCGGTGTCAAGATCGGCGTCTGTGGAGGAGGCTCGTGAAGGATGCTACTGGGCAGTTGGAGGCAGTCGCCCTCCAACAACAACGGAGGGCGGAGGAGCGACGCTCAGAACAACGAGCGGAGCGCCGGGTGGCTAAAGCACAGCAGGGTGGCACAGTAGGGGGCACAGGTGGTGCATCAGCCAGTCATCTCAGTCAGTCGACCCGTGGCACCTGGGTCTGCCCCGTGACCTCCTGCCAGCGGGCGTTCGACACTTCACGTGGCCTCAGGGTGCACATAGCCTGGCACAAGCGTCGTGGTGACGTCACCGCCACTTAGTGGCGAATGGCGGTTGTTATTGTACGTGTGTGTGTACGTGTGTGTGTGTACGTGTGCGCGCGTGTGTGTACGTGTCCGCGCGTGTGCGTGAGTGCACGCACCAGAATCGGTGTGCGTCACACACGGTGAGCTGCGTGGCGATGAGGCCATAGAGGTAGGAGTGGTTGTTCCAGCTGCTCTTGTCCAGGGCGAACAGGAACCAGTAGGGCACCACAAACATGACGCAGCTCACGCGGTACACACAGCCCAGCGTCATACCCACGGCACCTGGGAGACACACACAGAGTCACACACACAGTGTCATACACACAGCCCAGCGTCATACACACGGCACCTGTGAGACACACACAGAGTCACACACACAGTGTCATACATACAGCCCAGCGTCATACCCACATCACTTGGGAGATACACACAGAAACAGAGACACACAGAGACACACACACAGCGTCATACCCACAGCACCTGGGAGACACACATACACATACAGACACACAGAGACACACACACACAGTGTCATACACACAGCACCTGGGCGACACACACACATACAGACACACACAGACACACACACACAGCGTCATACACACAGCACCTGGGAGACGGAGACACACACACAGACACACACAGACACACACACACAGCGTCATACACACAGCACCTGTGAGACACAGACACACAGAGACACACATAGAGACACACAGCACCTGAGAGACACACACACAGCGTCATACACACAGCACCTGGGAGACACACACAGCGTCATACACACAGCACCTGGGAGACACACACACATACAAACACACACAGACACACACACACACAGCGTCATACACACAGCACCTGGGAGACACACACACAGCGTCATACACACAGCACCTGGGAGACACACACAGCGTCATACACACAGCACCTGGGAGACACACACACAGCGTCATACACACAGCACCTGGGAGACACACACAGCGTCATACACACAGCACCTGGGAGACACACACACAGACACACACAGTGTCATACACACAGCACCTGTGAGACACACAGACACACACACAGTGTCATACACACAGCACCTGTGAGACACACACACAGACACACACAGACACACATCACCTGGGAGACACACACAGACACAGAAACACACAGACACACACAGAGACACTCAGCGTCATACACACATCACCTGGGAGACACACACAGACACACAGAGACACACACAGAGGCACACACAGAGGCACACACAGACACACATAGAGACACACACAGAGGCACACACAGAGACACACACAGACACACATAGAGACACACATCACCTGGGAGACACACACACACAAAGACACACACAGACACAGATACACACAGACACACACATGACGAGGTACAGTGCGCACACACCTGCCCACATGACGAGGTACAGTGCGCACACACCTGCCCACATGACGAGGTACAGTGCGCACACACCTGCGCACATGACGAGGTACAGTGCGTACACACCTGCGCACATGACGAGGTACAGTGCGTACACACAGACACACACATGACGAGGTACAGTGCGTACACACCTGCCCACATGACGAGGTACAGTGCGTACATGCCGTCCTGTGACAGCGGCCGCAGGAAGTCGAAGAGGGGGAAGCGGCAGGTCCCCTCGTGGGGCTCGGGGAAGCGCAAGTCGAGCGAAGCCAGGCCCCTCTCCTGGGGCACGTCCAGCACCATCAGCAGGCCTGGGGGGAGCGGGGGGGGAGAGAGAGGGGGGGGAGTCACGATCACACACGGGGGGAGACGTCTCAGGCACCCACGGGGTGAGACACCCGTCGGTGTCTGAGATGCCCATGGGGTGAGACGCCCACGGGTGTCTGAGACGCCCACGGGTGTCTGAGACACCCGTGGGTGTCTCTGACACACACGGGTGTCTCAGGCACCCACGGGGTGAGATGCCCACGGGTGTCTGAGATGCCCATGGGGTGAGACGCCCACGGGCATCTCAGACACTCACGGGTGTCTGAGATGCCCATGTCTGAGACACCCGTGGGTGTTTGAGACACCCACGGGTGTCTCAAACACCCATGGGGTGAGACTCCCGTGTGTGTCTGAGACACCCACGGGTGTCTCACGGGTGTCTGAGACACCCGTGGGCGTCTCACCCCATGGGCATCTCAGACACTCGTGGGTTTCAGAGACACCCGTGGGCGTCTCGGACACCCGTGGGCGTCTCACCCCGTGGGTGTCCTACTGATGGTATCATAGGCCTTGACCACGGGTGTCTGAGACAGGCCACGCTCCTCCATCTCCTCACCGAAGGCGATCCTGAAGGTGGCCAGGCTGCTGGGGTCGCAGGGCCGGCTCATGAGGCGCACCCAGGACCCCCACGACCACCAGGACCCCCACGAGCGCCAGGACCGCCACGACGAGCGAAGGTCGGAGAGGAGCAACGAGTCGCCCATTGCTGGCCGGGAGACGGGGAGAGAGACAGAGAGAGGCAGGAATATCCGATAATGCCGCTCGACTGATTCGGAGTGAGAGCTCTGCTGTTAAACTGGAGCCGGTCATGAGCACACTGCCCAGGTATGGGGACACTCTCCACTCTCTCCACAACTGCCCCATCACCGATTGGGAGTTGTGGGGGTGGAGTGTCCTATGGTACAAAATACCCAGGCAGGTGCTTAGTTTTGGTGGGGCTGATGGTAAGGCACGCTCCTGTCTCAGCAGCAGCGTCTCCACACACAGACACACACACAGACACATACACAGACACACACAGACACACACAGACACAGACAGACATGCAGACACACACACAGACACACACACACAGACACACACACACAGACACACACACAGACACACACACAGACACACACACACAGACACACACACACAGACACACACACAGACACACACACACAGTCACACACACATAGACACACACACATACAGACACACACACAGACACACACACAGACACACACACAGACACACACACTGACACACACACATAGACACACACACAAACAGACACACACACAGATACACACACAGACACACACACAGACACACACACAGACACACACACAGACACACACACACACACTGACACACACACATAGACACACACACACAGACACACACACAGATATACACACACACAGACACACTGACACACACACAGACACACACACACAGATACACACACAGACACACAGACACACACACACACAGACACACACACACACACAGACACACACACAGACACACACACAGACACACACTACACACACAGACACACACACATACAGACACACACACACAGACACACACAGACACACACACACAGACACACACACAGACACCCACACAGACACACACAGACACACACAGACACACACATACACACACACTTAGACACACACACACAGACACACACACAGATACACACATACAGACACACAGACACACACAGACACCCACACGTGCCCAGCCGCCTTTGTCTCCCCCAGCGCTGGCGATGTCGCCGTCGCTGAGTTGTTGACGGCCTCACACCACCACCACCACAACATGTGACGCACACGTACAGTGCGCACACACATGTCACACGTACAGTACATTTCTTTAAAAAAAGACTCTACTCAGCAAAAAGTTGGGGGGCTACAGGCGGTCTCACACCTTGCCCGTCAATGTGTTATGTAGATGACCTCCCCCCCCCCCCCAAAAATAAACTCCGTCAAAATCGATCAAATCAATCGCTCACCTTCGTGGCGATCGAAGCCGCAGACTATTTCACGTGGCGCTCTCGTCGCAATGTTGACTGAAGGCGTGAGGCGGCTTTGGTGGGGGTGGTGGTGGGCGTGGCCTCATATCCCTCCGCGGGCAAACAGCCCACGGCGGTGATGCGGCCCCACCCCCACATAAACCACGCCCCCCTTGCCGCCGACGCACCTCCCTCCTTGAGGGGCTTGGAGATTTGGGTTCTCAAAGCGCCCTCAGGGCTACCCGTGGGTTGTAGCCACCGAGCGTGTTAAGTGATGCTTGCCGCCCTCGGGGCGTTTGGCACGACGAGAGCTGTGACAGGCGAAGGGGTGGTGGGGTGGTGGGAGGTGCCTGGAGGGGGTGTGTGACGTCACGAACAGCAAACAAAATTCCACGGCCAAGCGCCACGTGGCTTGGAAATTGTTGCTTATGAGGCGTTATGTTAATAAGGCGTTATGTTAATGAGATTTGTTAATGATGCGTCATGTTAATGCCGGTTATGGAGCATGGCGTTATGTTAATGACACTTTATGTTAACGAGGGAGCATGCTACTGAGGCGTTATGTAAATGGTGCATTATGTTAATAAGGCATCATGTTAATGAAGCGCTATGTTAATAAAGGTTATGTTAATTAAGTATTATGTTATTGAGGTGTTATATAGATGATGCGTCATTTGAATCAAACTTTATATTAATGAAACGTTATGTTAATAGGGCGTGATGCTCATCAGGCATTATGCTAATTTAGCGTTATGTTAATGAGGTGTTATATTCATGATGGTGGTGGTGATGGTCGTGGTGGTGATGGTTGTGGTGATGATGGTCGTGGTGGTGATGGTGGTGATGGTCGTGGTGGTGATGGAGGTAATGGTCGTGGTGGTGATGGTGGTGATGGTGGTGATGGTAGTGATGGTGGTTATGGTGGTGGTGATGATGGTGGTGATGATGGTGATGTTGGTGATGATGGTGATGGTAGTGATGGTGGTGATGGTGGTGATGATGGTGATGGTAGTGGTGATGGTGATGGTGGTAGTGGTGGTGATGGTGGAAGTGGTGGTGATGGTCTTGATGGTGATGTTGGTGATGATGGTGATGGTAGTGATGGTGGTTATGGTGGTGGTGGTGATGATGGTGGTGGTGGTGATGACGGTGATGGTCGTGGTAGTGATGGTGGTGATGGTGATTGTGGTGATGGTCGTGGTTGATCATCTAGATAATTGTATAGATGATTGTCTAGATGATTGTCTGGATGATGGTCTAGATAATTGTCTAGATGATTGTCTAGATGATGGTCTAGATTATTGTATAGATGATTGTCTAGATAATTGTCTAGATGATTGTCTAGATGATGGTCTAGATGATTGTCTAGATGATTGTCTAGATGATGGTCTAGATGATTGTCTACATGATTGTCTAGATGATTGTCTAGATGATGGTCTAGATGATGGTCTAGATGATGGTCTAGATGATGGTCTAGATGATTGTCTTGATGATGGTCTAGATGATTGTCTAGATGATGGTCTAGATGATTGTCTAGATGATTGTCTAGATGATTGTCTAGATGATGGTCTAGATGATTGTCTAGATGATGGTCTAGATGATTGTCTAGATGATTGTCTAGATGATGGTCTAGATGATTGTCTAGATGATTGTCTAGATGATTGTCTAGATGATGGTCTAGATGATTGTCTAGATGATTGTCTAGATGATTGTCTAGATGATGGTCTAGATGATTGTCTAGATGATTGTCTAGATGATTGTCTAGATGATGGTCTAGATGATGGTCTAGATGATTGTCTAGATTATTGTCTAGATGATTGTCTAGATGATGGTCTAGATGATTGTCTAGATAATTGTCTAGATGATGGTCTAGATGATTGTCTAGATGATGGTCTAGATGATTGTCTAGATAATTGTCTAGATGATGGTCTAGATGATTGTCTAGATGATGGTCTAGATAATTGTCTAGATGATTGTCTAGATGATGGCCTAGATGATTGTCTCGATAATGGTCTAGATGATTGTCTAGATGATGGTCTAGATGATGGTCTAGATGATTGTCTAGATGATGGTGTAGATGATGGTGTAGATGATTGTCTAGATGATTGTCTAGATGATTGTCTAGATGATTGTCTAGATGATGGTCTAGATGATTGTCTAGATGATGGTCTAGATGATTGTCTAGATGATGGTCTAGATGATGGTCTACATGATTGTCTAGATGATGGTCTAGATAATTGTCTAGATAATTGTCTAGATGATTGTCTAGATAATTGTCTTGATGATTCCCTAGATGATTGTCTAGATTGTCTAGATGATTGTCAAGATGATTGTCTAGATAATTGTCTAGATGATGGTCTAGATGATGGTCTAGATGATTGTCTAGACTGTCTAGATGATGGTCTAGATGATGGTCTAGATGATGGTCTAGATGATGGTCTAGATAATTGTCTAGATGATGGTCTAGATGATTGTCTAGATAAAAGTCTAGATAATTGTCTTGATGATTCTCTAGATGATTGTCTAGATAAAAGTCTAGATAATTGTCTAGATGATTGTCTAGATGATTGTCTAGATAATTGTCTAGATAATTATTTAGATGATTGTCTAGATGATTGTCTAGATGATTGTCTAGATCAGCGGTCCCCAACCTTTTTTGTACCAGGGACCGGTTTCGTGGAAGACAATTTTTCACGGACCGGGGGATGGGGGGGGGTCATCATTTGGTCTTTCCCCCTTTTTACAGAAGCTCTCCGGCTACGTTTGTGTTTGTTACTCATGTTGGCTACTAGGGG